AAAAGATTAAACAATGGGATAGTAACAATAGTTCTCTGTTCTGTTTGCTACCATTAGTTACTGTGTGTCCTTGCGTGTGCATGCATATGTGTATAAAAGACGGTCATTTCATTGAGCAGGGATGTTCTTAACACATCATCTGATTTGTTTTGTATACATCCTGTCTCTAGACAGTTAGCTTTGCTGAGACAATGCTTTTTGAGCTGTGGAGACAAAAATACTGAAGGCAGAACCAAAGCAACAAGGCGTCTTGGCTAAATTGGGTACAACCTGACAGCACACAGCCATCATAGCATGCATATAACATTTTAAAAAGCAGTTTCTTTAGCAGCTTATGTCAGAAAGGTCTTTGAAATTATGAGCCCATTTATTCATAAATTCAAGGGTAAGTTTTCAACAAGTATGTGTGGTTCTGAGGGCAATTAGCAAGATAAAACATGCTCCATAGACGCACAATATTTCAGAATTCAGAGGAACCAAAAGGGTCATCTCTGCTGCCTGCTTTCCTCTACACAATCCCACTCCATAAAGGATAAAATTGACATTCAGACCATAGATAAATGGAGCAAGAGCAAGTGGTGAGATTTTAGGATCATGAATTTGCTTGTCTTTCACTTATTTTCTGGTTACGTACGTGTTCTTTTATTTCCCCTAGTGCTGTGGAGTCAGTTCCCGTGGAGTCATAGTAACCCAATAGTATAAAGTACAATTGTCTGATAGGATTTCCAAGCTGTAAATCTTTAGGAAAGTGAGGTGCTACATCGTTCTCCCATGCAGCGACTTGTGGGTTTGAACCTTTTGTTTAGCAGGCTAGGCTTTATTTACTGTACCACCTGAAAGTAAAATAAAATAAAAACAAAGCAGATAATTACTTTACTATGAATTGGGATGGAATTATTTTATTCATGGCAATTACTGATTACACTTTACATTAATTTAAATAACTACCCATTTGTAAAATTACAGTTATATACATTATAGGCTTCCCTTCCTTAATTTTTATGACTTCATTTTTTTTCCTTGGTTTAAAATTGTAATGACTAGATTTGTCATTACAAATTTCATTTGAAATTTGATTTCTGGCAAAGATAATGCTTTGTGCCATTTAAATTTTTCCAGAAAATTATCTTTATTTTTTTTAACTTAAGATACAAGTAGATTATTATATATTTTTTCTGAATTATCTTTCCCACATAAAACAATATTTAAAATTTTTATTTTATTATACATATTTGCATATATGATATTGGTAGGTTGATAATTTTTAGATTTTGGTTTTTTTAATCTAAATAAAGTGGTAATTTAAAAATAAAATTTCAAACTAAAGTACTTATAAACTGAATAATTCTAATTTCTAGTCTACTTTATTTTATAATTTATAAATAAATTTATAGATAAACTCTACCATGCCTTCCCACTTTATCTTTTCCTTACCCTGTTCCTCAGGTCAGGATTCTAGAGGGTGTCCAGTTTTCTCTCCCTCAATTCATTGACGATAGGATCCAAAAAGAGCTATGCTAGGGGAAATCGTAGGCCTGAAATTCCCCCAGCGCTAGGTTTGAATTCCATTCTGTCATTTTATAACTGGAGGCTTTCCAGAAATGGAGATCGAACCCACAATGAAATGTCTCGGGGAGGAGATGAGCCAGTCAGGGTGCGATCTAACAACGATGAGAAATACAACTTTCCTCTAGTTCCTAAATGTTTCCTCCCCGCTCCCACTACCATGACTCGAAATTCGACCTTGCAAGTCTGGCTAGACCAGAGGATGTACACTGGTACAGATAGGAACTGAAAATCCAGCGAATCCAGGGCGGATGAGCCCTACAGGACCAGTGGTGTGAGTGGCGAAACAGGGAGGTTAAAGGGAGAGTGGGTAGGAAAGAGGGAACCGATTACAAGGAACTATATGTGACCTCCTCCCTGGGGGACAGACAACCGAAAAGTGGGTGAGGGGAGACGTCGGACAGGGCAAGATATGACAAAATACCAATTTATAAACTATCAAGGGCTCAAGAGGGAGGGGGGAGCGGGGAGGGAGGGGAAAAATGAGGACCTAATGCCGGGGGTTTGGGTGGAGAGGAAATGGTTTGAGAATGATGTGCAAATGTGCTTTACACAATTGATGTGCAAATGCGCTTTACACAATTGATGCGCGTATGGATTGCGATAACAGTTGTATGAGCCCCTAATAAAATGATTTAAAAAAAAAACAAATCACTACTTTACACCCACTGAGATGATTATAATAAAATATCAAAACAAGTGTTGGGGCGTATGTGGAGAAATAGGAATCTGTACACATTGCTTATTATCATGTAAAATGGTATAGTGCCCCTAGTTAGACAGTGTTTAGACAAAAACTGATACTTGAATGATCATGGTCATCAGAGCAGTGGCTAGTAAGCTATAGTAGCTAAAAGGTGAAAATAGCACAAATGTACATCACTTGAGGAATAGATCCACAAAATGTGGTATATACATTATTTAGTCATAGAAAAAAATAAAAGTGATACACACTATAACATGGAATAACCTTGAAAATGTTATGCTAAATGAAAGAAGCTAGATCGAAAGGCTACGTACTGTATGATTCCATTTATATGAACTGCAGGAATTTGGAGGAAGCAGAGTGGCTGCTTTTGGGATATGGAATTTTCCTTTTTGGGTGATAAAAATGTTGTAGAACCAAATAAGAGTGATGAATGCAATAAATGTCACTTTACAGTGATTATAAAGGTAAATTGCAGCATTGTATTTTACCACTCCACCCCCACCCCCACCCCACCCCCCACCCCCGAACCAAAAGATGTTGTAGTTGTTAGGTCTTGTGCATCGAGTTGGCTATGACCCATTGTGACCCCTGTGTACAACCAAACAAAACACGGCATGGTCCAGCACCATCTTCACAATTGTTCCTGTGCCTGAACCCATTGATGTGTCAATCCATCTTGACAGGGGCCTTTCTCTTTTTCACCTCCCCTCGACTTTACCAAATATGATGTCCTTCTCCAGGGACTGATCGCTTCTGACAATATGTCCAAAGTAAGTAACACGAAGTCTTGCCATCTTTGCCTCTAAGGAGTGCTCTGGCCTAATTTCTTCCAATGCAGCAGTCCATGGTACTTTTACTGTTCTTTCCAGCACCACAATTCAAATGTATCAATTCTTCAATGATCTTCCTTATTCAATGTCCAACCCTCACATGTACACCTTGGGTCATGTGCATCTTAGTCCTAAAAGTAACATCCTTGCTCTTCAATATTCTAAACAGGTCTTAAGCAGCAGATTTACCTAATGTAATACATCTTTTGATCTCTTGACTACTGCTTCCATGAGCATTGATTAGGGATCCAAGTAAGACAAAATCCCTGACAACTTCAACCTTTTCTCTATTTATCATGATATTACCTTTAGGTCTAGTTGTGAGGATTGTGCTTTTCCTTACATTGAGTTGTATCCATACTGAAGGCGACAGTGCTTGATTTTCATCAGCAAGTGCTTTA